AATTACAATTTAAAAATGAGGTACTCTTCTAGTATGCTACTTAGTATAATATCTACCACAAAACTGTTGTATACTTGTTGTTCTACTCATCTATACATTTTGCTACTTATACCTAGATCACATTATTATTTATTAACAATTATTTTAACGATGAAAAAATGAAAAAATCTGTATAATTTTTTTCTCGTAGTTAAAAAATGATTAGCCATTTAAATAAAATACAAAATATGCGTTTATACGATTGCACATACTCAATAGTGAATAGTGATTACATACATACAGTTGTATAGGCAATGATACATCTTCGAATAAGATAACAATATAATAAGAAACACGAATATGTGAATAATTCGATTAATTTAAGGTTCAAATGTGCCATTGATTAAAATAGGTAGAATTAGAAGAGGTAAGTTAAAATAATTATAATGAGTAACAGGATTTTAGTTCTTCTGCACCAATCATTCAAACACAAAATATTATTGACTAAGTATGTCACATTATTGTTTTATTTTTATGAGACTAATAAATGAAAAAAAAAATGATTGAACATTGAAGGAAACATTACATTAAAGCATGAAATAAAAAAATGACATAGTAAAATACTATGATTAAGTGTGTAGCGCTTTTTCTCAATGTTTGTATAGTTGTCGTTCTACAATTTTATTTACTTATTTATTGATCGATTGTTCAGGTGCTCTTTAGATAATAATATTTTCTCTTGCGTCTGGAAAATAAGTCCCATAACACCAGCGTTGAAATCTCGTGACTCATTTAATGTTGTTAACTAGCTACACTCCTACATAAATAGACAATACTATATTCAACTTCGTAAATTATTTGAACACATTGTATAATATAGAATCAAAAGTTTTGATATCATATGATAATACTTATGCAGCATGGTCTAGGCCTAATAAATAAACTATTACCATTTATCAGTGGCGTATTACCTGATAAGTTTATCATATTGAAAAAAAATACTTCACAAGAATAATTCTCAGGCTTTGTAGAGTTGTCAGAGTTTCAATCTCTACCTATATTTTATCTGAGATAAAAATACTACTTACAGGCCACATTTAACTCAGATTTTTATTTTAATTCTAATAATGTATATTGGTATACTTGCAGTATAATTGGTAAAAAAAAAAGAGTAAAATCGTGTTATTTTTATGATTTATTTAAAATATTGAAATTAAAGTATCGAAAAACAATGTTTGATGCAGATTCTATAAAACAAAATCAATATTTAATCAATATTTTCGTATACATTTTTTTTGTAGATTAAATTACATTAGCACCAAGAGCCAGGTGCCTTAATAGCATAACCATAATCTAGTATTATAATTGTATTGACTTAGGTACAACAATTCTCAAAAACGTTACATTATAAATTTTAATTTATTTTTTGCAGCGATTGGATTACGTTTTTGTTGGAAAATGATGAAAATGAATTCACAAGTCGTTTTGTTGAAAAACGGAAACTACCTTATAAAAGTCTTACACTTGGGTTTATTTGGAATACAAAGGCTACATTTTATCGTAATACACATTTGGAAAGAAAAATCGATTTTGTCAGTGGCTATAACTGCTCTTAAAGTATAAATCATACAAAAACGAAAAAAAATACACGAGAACTACAAAAAAGCGTTTTACAAAAATCAACCACAATAATCGAAAAAAGTACATTCAATTTCATTTTTGAACTGAACTACTAGCATACTACACAGAAATTATATGTTTCTTACTTCTGATTATAACTTTGCTTTACAACTTACCCGAAACAAAATGTAGGTATGTAAGATATTAATCAGTATAAAATTTGTTTTCTACGATTATATTGTCGTTTAAACGTATGTATAAAAATATTTAACTAAAAAATTTCTACAATATTTCAAAATATCATAACGAAATACAACAAAAACCTACTTATAATATGTTATCAAAAAACCGGTAACGTAGGTAATATATTGTTGTTTTTATTTAAAAATTAGAAACCATTGTAGATATCAGTGTAAAATCATCTTGTTTATCTAATTTATTTTAACTATGATTAAGATTTAATTTAAAAAATAAATTAGCTATTAACTATATGTAGCTATCTAGGTATTAAAAGTTTTGAATTTTGATTAAAAGTAAGGTAGATTTCTGTCATATTATACTAAGAAATTATTGCATAAGGTATTCTTTGAATTTAAACAGGTAAATACGTTTTTTTTTAGATGTACGTGACAAGTAAAGCTGTGTAAAATATGATTAAATAGATTGCAAATGTATGCGTAGACTTGGGATGTGTTTTACTTTTTTAGCTCTTTTATGTGTAGATAAATATTTTATAAAATTTAAATTTAAATCAACTATCAGATAATTACATAAAAAGTTAAATGGCAAAAAGCATAATAATAGGTAATTACCCTTTAATCTTTATGTATATATATTATATATATCATGTAGGTGGCTTACATATAAGATTCTGAGCGGAGCGATGAATGTATTGATTTTACCAT